AGCTGAATTCCCTGGGCTTGGCTCCTGGGACTCTGGACTGCTTTATGGGAGCCCAGAGTCCAAGTTACTGGTGAGTGTATACAGCACTGGCTTGGTGCATACTAGAAACTGAGCCCCATGCACCGCACAAGCGGTACCCGCTCACACACCACAGCAGCCACTCAGGCAGTGCCTTGCACTGAAGAAGCCTGGGCAGGGGAGACTCTATTGCAGGGCGCCCAACAAGAAGGCAGACCCCTGTCCAGTAGCACCGGCTCCTCACAGACTAGACCATCTGCTCCAATGGCAGTTGTTCCTTGCTTCAGAAAATGCTTGTTGTGGTGGCAGAAAACACTGGTTGTGGGTCACCCTTTCACTGGCAGCAGTGCCTGCTTGTGTGCTTGAGCAGCCACTCAAATGCAGCCGGCGGCCCTTCCCCTGGATGACTTCAGCGGCTACAAAAACAACTGTGCCAGGCCCTGGAGCACAGGAAGCTGTAACAGGCCAGAGAGCGTGAGCTATTGAGAAAGGCCCTGCTGGCAAAAAGCATGGCAGAGGAGCAGGAGGCTCTGCTGGCTGGAAAGGCAGGCAGAGTGGGCTCGTTGGGTGAGGCAATGGCTACAGCAGCAAGAGCAACCTGCTGAGCCCCAGAGAGAGAGAGAGAGAGAGAGGAGGCTCCCTCACTGAAGGCTGGAGAACATGAGTCGAGTAGGGAAAGCCCTGAAGGAACGAGGGATTCTGGCAGACGGAGATGCAGAGGAGGCTCACTGGAGGAGGAGGAGGCACCCAGAAGCAACAGGTGACTGCGCTGAGTTCCAGAGAGAGGGAAGTGGCTCCTGCCATTGCTGGCCAGAGAGCACGAAAAGAACAAAAGCCCCGGCTGGAGCCCAGTGAGACTGGCTGAGACTGACCCAGCATGACGGAATTAAAAAGGAAGCAGAAAGAATGGACTGAGAAAGCACCCCAGTACTGGTGACCTACAGCATCTGTGCAATGTGTGTTTGAAGGCAACGCATCCTGCAGGTGCAGCAAGTGCAAGCTAGTAGCCCTATTAGAAGAAAAGGTTAAGAGCACTAGAGCAGTGAGTGTCCACCCTCAAGGGAATATAAGATAATTTTTTTTAGACAGAGCAGTGCAACTGCAACACTTAGGAGTAGTACAGAAGCTAGAAGTGCATCAGCAAGCTGGTAGAAGAGGAAAATCCTGATGTGAGGAGGAGGAGGAGGAGGAGGAGGAAACTCCATGGAAAAGAGCAACAGATGTGCAGAGGAACTAGAAGACAGTGGAGGGCAGTGGAACACTCAAACCACTTTCAGTAACTTGAGAATGAGACTGGAGGGCAGCCTGCTGTGGAAGAACTTCAAGACAAGGAGTACTACCCCTACTCACTAGTCGGACCTCACCTGGGTTACTGTGTCCAGTTCTGGGCACCAAGATTTAAGAAAGATGCAGGTAAATTAGAAAGGGTCCTGAGGAGTGCAAGAAAAAAACGATCCAGGGTTTGGAAACACTGCCCTGTGGGGAAAGACTGAGAGAACTGGGCATGTTCAGCCTTGAGGAGAGAAGACTGAGTGGGGACATGATATCCCTCTATAAGCACCTCAAAGGCTGTCATAAAGCGGAAAGTCAAGATCTGGACATGCATATGGTAGGAGCCAGCTGGAGCTGGGGGTCAGACTAGATGGCCCAGGAGGCCCCTTCTTTCTTACTCTGTTTCTATGTTTCTATGTCTTCTCACTGATACCAGAATGTAGGACATGGAATTCAAATTGTGACAACCCAGATTCAGGCTAGATATCAGGAAAGGTTTCTTCCCTGTGAGAGCAATACAACAATGGAACCGGCTGCCTAGAGAGGTGGTGGGCTGTCCCACGCTGGAGACATTCAAGAGGAAACTGGACAGCCATACGAGCAGGAAGTTGGATCCAATGGCCTTCTTGGCCCCTTCCAAGAATAGAATCTACTATTCTAAGATGCTATTACATCATGTGTGACACTGAGCAAGAGGCTAAAGCTCAACCAGGTTGTGGCAATGATACCAAGGCACACAAGTGCTGGTTGTGGGAGACTTCCTGTTGAGGGGGAGAGATCCGTGGTGTGGGATGTAGACCCGTGGATTCATCAGGTATGCTATCTTCCCAAGAGGTCAGATTAGTGATATAACTGGAAAATTGCCAAGGCTCATATAGCCCCCAGACACTTATCCCTTCCTTCTTATGCATGTGGGAACAAACAATACCGCCAAGCAGTGCATGGAGAAAATGATGTCACACTTAGAAGCTTTCGGGAGGAAAGTCAAGAAGATTAGCCATATGTGAGCCGTCCTGAGGCTTTCGCGACAGGACGGCATATAAATACTATAAATAAATAAATAAGGGGCCAGATAGCTTTCACTTCCAGGGAAGTGACAGCAAGAAAAATACTTCAAGTTAATGCTTGGTTATGAAGCTGCTATTGCCATGAGAGATACAGATTCTGGGACCACAGGCTACACTTCCTGGAAGACAGGCTGTCGGCAAGAGATGAATTGCATTTTACCAGGGCTGGTAAGAAGATACTTGGCCACAGCGTGACGTTTGTCAGGAGAGCTTTAAACTGAATCCTACAGGGGAGTGAAAGGAACACCTGGGCATAACAACAGACAGTCTTATGCACCACAACAGAGAGAGTGGCTCTAACAGTGACCAATAATAGTCTTCTAAACAATGTAGGAAGAAAGCTAGATTTTAAAGCACATGATCTTCATTATCTGTATACAAATGTCCAGAGTATGGGAAACGAACCGCATGAACAGCATAATGGATCAGAAAGGGAGGCAGAATCACACTATATGCTAATGATGTATATCTCTGCACAGAAAAACAGGAGCTTGAGTTTAGTAGCCCCATTGAGAGCAGGGTACATCAATGAAGCAAGGAATAAAAGGAACATGGTGGTTGGAGTCTATTACTGACTACTCAGTTGAGGAGAAGGTGAGGATGGAACTTTTGAAGAGCAAATTTTAAGGAGGCATAAAGTCATTATGGGGGACTTCAAACTCCTGATATCCTTTGAGAGACAAATTCTGTCAAATACGGCCCCTCCAAGAGATTCCTAACATGGGTTGCTGCTAACTTCCTCCAACTGAAAGTGGAGAATGGAACAAGAAGAACAGCTATCCTTGACTTGATACTAACCATCAGGGAAGAGTTAGTAGACAAAGTGGCAGCTACAAGAACTCTGGGGGGAAGTGACAATGAATTCTTGATTCTTAAGGAAGCAAAAACCAAATGTAGCCAAACATGTACCTTGGATTTTAGGATAGGCAGTTATAATAAACTCGAAACAATGACCAGCAAAGTCCCATGGCAAATGACTCTAATGAGAAAAGGAGTCAAAGATGGATGGGGATTTTTTACAAAGGGAAATTCTAAAGGCACAATTGCAATCAATTTAAACAGAGGAAAAGGGTAGAAGACTTCAAAATAGACTTTGTGGTTTCATAAAAAGCTTAGAGAGGATCTAAACACAAACAGGACAAGTATAGGAAGTGGAAGGATGGCCAGGCCACAAAGGCAGAATACAGGCAGGTAGCATGGAATTGCAGGGATGGCGTCAGGAAGTCTAAAGCTAGGAATGAACTGAGGCTAGCAAGGGAGGCTAAAAGCAACCAAAAGTCTTCTTCAGATATGTCCAAACGAAAAGCTAGAGGAAATGAATTGGGGTTCAACTACTCACTGTGGATAATAGATGACAGAGAAAATGTAGAAGTGCTCAATTCCTACTTTGGCTCACTCATCTCCCAAAAAGATTTTTTTTTCTAGTGAGATTTTGAACTATTTGTTGGCATGGATTGTTCTCAGCCATTTGCCTTTTTAAGATAATTGTTACTTGGGGTGGTGGGGTGTCTTTCTTTCTTATCAGTCAAAGTGAATGCAAAAGTGGTGGGGAGAGGAAACTACAACTAATACACTTATTGGATCTAATTTTGTCAAATACTTTTGTAAAATAGGAAGGAGGTAAAGGTGGGCAATAGAAAGAGCCTGACAAGGAAAACCAAGACAGGAAACAGTAAGACCAACACCAAAGTTTGTAATTAGCAGAGTCGAACAGACTTTTATTAGCAGACACAAAGAATGGCAAATACAGCAGGCTCGCAGAGACCGGAGCTTCCTGAGATAAGTCCAAAAGTCCATGGTTCTTAAGAATACTTCCAGCAGCTCTTGCCATGCTTTGCATTTCAGTTCATTATCTCATTTCCTTTACACAATTAATTTAAAAAAGATTTTATCAGCTTGCTCTCTGCTTGATAATAACAATGGCTTGCTTTGGCTATACTATCTTGGAAGCGACAAGGGGGATCCCCACTGGTTCTCATTGGCTCCTGAATGTTCTGCTTCCAGCATCAAATGGGAGAAGCCATGCCACATTCTAAGGACATGGATTCAAACATTGTTTGAAGAATGAGCCAAGGACAAGCACGATCCAAAATGGAAGGAATAATAGAACCATTACAAGAAATAACTATTTCAAAGCAACCTACTGCTCTAGATGAAGCCAGATTGCAGTGCTATTGCAGGTTCTGCAAAAAAAATGAAAATGCTAAGATAGCTTAACATCTTAGCTAAATAGAGCTAAATAGAGACTAGGAAGCACAACCTTCTTCTGCAGTCTTACCAAGGGAAACCCCAGCCAAACGTATTAAAATAATTAGCACTGTACATCTGAAACACAGAGTAGTCCGGAGCATAAATTAAAAATCAGAAACAAAATTAGGAGCACAAAATTCAGCAAAACAAAACAGAACAAAACCAAACCACAAAACACAAAACAAAAACCTCCCAAAAAAACATCTTAGTATGTGCATGCGTGCATTTGTGTGTCTATAAAGATGCACAGATATATTTCCTATTAAAGAAAAGTATCCAAGGAGATTAGGGGTGTGTGTGTAGTAGTAGTAGTAGTAAGTATACACTTAGTAGAAGCTGGATGAAATGCTGTTGACTTGATAGGGTCAGGAGATGCAAAATGACAGGTAGAAATTAGAGTGTGCCCATTCCAGTGACCTCAGACGTCAGCCTAGAATAGATAAAGAGAAAAAGAGTTGGGGGAAAGGGGTGAAAACAAGTGCTTGAAATTTCAGCAGTGATGGCTGAAATTTTTACAGCAAGTAAGCAGGAGAGAAGCTCTTTTTAGATGTGTCAAAATGTATTCTAGCCCAATGGTTTCTGTAAAGGAAACCAACCAATTCCTGAATTATTCAGTGTGTTGTGTAAAGCCAGAATTCTGCCAGAAGAGGAAACAATACATAGTCTTAACCCAACAACAACTCATGGATGTACACTCTGAGTTGTTTCTCCTTCAACAAGCCAGATTTCCAGGTGTGCATATCATGATGAATACCTGGGCTTTCTAAACTGCACGCGAAGTGGAATCCAGGAAGTGTTGGGAAGCTGCAGGCTCACTTGCAGCCAGCTGCTCCCAGCAACCATTGGGTTGTTGTTACAGGTGAACCAGATGACTGTATAAATGTAATATGGTACTTGAGGATAACCTGAGATGCTTCTATTGTACCCTAACTGGCTACTTCAGTTACTGATTATGAAAATGTGATGAGAAAGATATGAATGGGACATAAATAAAAAATCTCACCTGGCATTGATGAGGTACTGAGCAAGGCTGATGTTTGCTGGGGTCCCTGTGATGGTAATTTGACGTTCTGATGAACCTTCTGTGGCATTGGCGATTTTGATCTGTGCTCCAGACATCTGTCGAATTTCATTGATTTTGGTCCCTTGGCGTCCAATTATGCAGCCTATTAGCTAGAAAAAAGGCATGGAGGAAATTATTTATTGTATCTTCTGTTGTTAAAGGCTGAGATCAGTGAACGTCACAGATATTTCTCAGAATAATAGTTCTTTATTACTGTAGAAATTTTGTAATACTTGGTAGACCTTTATTATACCGCTCTCCTATTGAACTGTGCTTAGATGATCTTACCCAGCTGTTACCCTGTGAAAACCCTCTGCTTCATTTAACTATTAAATTTATAAAACAGTCACCAGGCATAAGCATGAAGGTCAAGTTCATCCCGTCTTGCTGGAAATTGATCATGTTCTGGGCACGGCTGTCCAAATGACTCAGGAAACTTCAGGATCCGCGTCCTGAATTTTGGTGCAATGCCCGCACTACCTGGACAAGGGCTGTGAGGCAGAAAGGTGGTGATCCTCCCACTCCACTGCTACCAGAACAGATGCAGCCAGCTCTGCGCCCCGTTCTTCGCATAAAGCAAGATGATGACAGTAGCGGCACCTTGCATGTTGCCTGGAAGGGCTCCTGGTTCCCTTCCCTTCCCTTCCATCCCATGCTCTGTGTCTAGGAGGGTTCTCTGCTGGAGAAACAGCGCTCTTTCATAGCTTCTTCCAGTGTCCTGTCATCCCCACAAGCTGAAGACACATAACCCTTCCTCTCCTCACATATGTCCTCAGAATGGAGCAGCTTCTTCTGCTTTGAGATGGCAGCAAGGAAAAGAGAGGGAGGAGGAGGTCTGCAATTCACCAAGTCAGTGCATGGCCTAGTGGGCCATATGCCCCCTTCTTTTCCTCCCTGAAGTGCTGAGAGGACTGGACAAGGGGCCAGAAGCAGGGATGAAAAGGTAAGTGATTCTCTATAGTCAGTCGCTCATCAGTTTATTCCATAAAGTTACCATGAGTAGCAGCATTTCAGCAGTGTCACAGAGTGGAAATTTTCTGGAAAGAAATGCTGACATTTGAGTTTCTGGCATTAAGGAGTGTGTCAAATTAAAATTAATTAGTGAGACGCAGTGTGGAACAGCGGTTATTCTTTGGACTGGGACCTGGGAGATCTGGGTTCCGTCTGCCACAAAGCTCCCTGGGTGAGCATGGGCCAGTCAGTCACTCTCAGCCAAACCCACTACATGGAGTTGCTGTGAGGACACAGTGGAGAGGAGGAGGACAAAACAAGCCATCTGAGGTTCCTTTCTAAAGGGACAAGGTGGGATACCAATGAAATAGTAAAGAGTTTTCAGTACCCTTATGCTTTTTCTTCTCAAATCCAAATAATATAAATGAAGTACATGCTCCATAACATTTAAATCCCATTTAAATTGTGTGCTTTAATTTTTTCTCTCACATATTCTACATTAATATTTTTGGTGTATCGGGACAGAAGATTCAGATGGGTTACTTTTTAAAAAGTTTACTAAATACAGGTAAAATAAATACATAAAAAACTAAATTAATTTTCACCCTGTCAACTTGAGTCCCTCTAGATATTTTGGGCTAGGGCTCCCATCAGTTCTACACAGAATAACCAGTGGTTAAGCCAAACATTCTGAGGGCCACAAGTTGTAAACTCTGTTGTGGAGCATCAAAACATTTAGTAATGCAAACAAGGCAAATTTTCTAATTTATATTGGAAAATGTTCCAGAAATCCCGTAGCACTGGTTTTCAGTAAAATAAATACTTGTCAGTGAACATGAAACCCTATGTACAGTCATGAATTAGTGTGTAATGTGTGAAAACCAAGCAAAAAAGGGGAACGTGAAAACCAAAATGCCAAGACAAAACTTTATGAATAGCCAAACAAAATAAAAGAAAATGCTCTGCCAAACCACAGACCCATTTGAATCAAAGGAACCTGTTACAAACCTTTAAAATATAGGGAGACAAACAACATAAGGGTATTAAAATATAGTCTCAGTGTGACATTGTTATGAACAGTATCATTAAAGTAAAGCAAGGGTGTTAAAATATTTTGGACTCTGATAAATACAGTCCAGATAGCTAAATATCAGAAATCATTCTGCTGCACTAACGATCATAACCTGACTTTACTGGAGTATTCCTGGTTCAAAGCTCATGATGGATTTCATTCAGTTTGGTAATGGAGCAGATCAGATAATTTTATTATTTCTGAGTTATGAGGATATAAAAAGGGACACATCAGAAGTCTTTGAAGTAATGAGGGAACAGAAAAAGAAAGAAATTCAGTATATGTAAATTCCTGGGCTGTACCTCCTGGAAGAACAGGTTGCAACAGGTGGTATCAGATTTATTCACGAATTCAAAAGAATAACTTAAGTCAGGCCTGTAAAGCATGAAGTGTTCTGGGGGTAATTTTGCCCTACTGCCCTGCAAAGAACCTCTCATGTACCATATTCATTTTGGCACCTTGTAGAATTCTACAGAATGGTGGCAGGAAAAAAAGCAGCTTGTGACCAAAATTATAAATGCATAAATTTTGAGCTTCCATTGTATTTGCCTAATCCCACAAACCTCATTCATCAGTATTCCCTCATACCTGCCTTAATCAGGTGTGTTATCTTCTAATCAATGGAAGTTGGAGCTAATATATCACTTATTAAGCAAAGCTAATCAATCTACATTGATTTTGTATATATGAGTTCTTGTAATAGATGTTTCAATGAGGACCCCCATAAATCTGGTTCTTGGATTGATGGTGGCCCAGCAAGAGGAATTCATTCTGGCACCTGGCCAAAACCTTTTTATTGACCCAGTTTTTTAATTGTTAAATGGTATTTTAATAGTTTTAGCATCAAGTACTGGCACTAAGGTGTTTTCCATTATTAATTGTTTTTTAAAATTTTGTAAACCATCGTGATATTTTTAATGAATGATGGAATATAAAAACTTTAAATAAATGAAATCAGTATTTATTCTTGTCATTACGCCAACATCTCCATACTTTAGGAATGACAGAAGAGTATCTGAATGAACCCTTGGTTTCTGTTGCTTGGAATGGTGAAGCTGTGATGTTAGGAAATCATTCTGGAGTTTTAAAAAATGTTGAAAGGTGTTATTTCCTTCTGTTATTTTATGGCACATTGTTATCCATTGACTGGAATTATCAGTTTGTGAAGCTGCACGTGCTGTCTCTGGAATCAACCATTTGAAACTTTCATTGACAAATTGTATGTTTTGTACCATGTTTCATCCAAAATTTGTAGACTTTCTATTATTACATGTAGTTTCTTCATGTATAGGCAAGGATGCTGGAAGTTAAATTATGAACAAGTGGAAGAATATTAAGGATGCAATGGGTAGCTTCCAGTTTCAGATCAGTATCTGCTATATGGGAAGGTGAAGTTTTTGTGCTTTGTTTCATTGAACCTAAAAGAGATTGTAAAAGAGACAAAAAGAGATCCATGTACAAGGGTTTACAAAGGAATATCAGTTTAGTCAAATTTCTATTGGGCTGAGGGACAGATGTGTGGGGCCCTCTAAGATTCACAAGAATGTGACAAAGCCAGTAACGAGACAGAAAATACTGTTATGGATAGAAAGGAATCTCATAGGCCATATTATGAAAATATGCAATTAATGCATCAGAAACTCTAGCCTTCAAAGGAAGAAAAAAACAAGATTCCTCCAGTTTGTCCAAAAGCTTTACATCTATTGCAAAAAGGTTGCTGGATGAAGAAGAAGCTGATGTAGCCAAATGGCTCCAAATGCTAAATCCCAGTGCCAGAAGATGCAGATTGTCAATCAATTTCATGAGAAAGAAGCTTAAAATGTGTCTAGAAGACATTCATTGAATAAGAAAAGTGATTTGTGGATTTTAATAATACCTGATTGAGGAACAAGTCCCAAAGGAATCATTGCATTGAAAAATCCCTTAACATTCTATTTATCTCTTCCTCTGAATATGAAGGGGTCTTTTCCACAGATGAAACTCATTTTGACTCAAACAAGATCTTTTATGTTGATTATCCCTGCCTTGGAACTGCTGTTCTTAAAAATGTAAGGCCTCTCTTACTCAGTTTGATCCAACAAAATATGTCCAGTCATGAATAGAGTTCTGTCACAACTACACAAAGAAAATAATAAAGCTGAGAAAATGAAGCCAATGAAAACAAGATGCAGATCTGGAACATCTTGCAGCCTATCAAATGGGTGAAGTGAATAGAACAGAATAGAATATAAATTATATTAATATAATTAGTACACTCTAGTGCTGTGTAGGGTAAGAATAGCATCTGTCCACTATTTTTATACTCTTCTTATACTTTAATTAGTTTATATACCTATATGTACTAATTAAAATTAAAGCGGCTTTTGACAGGTTCTGCAATGGCCTTTTGGCTGTTAGAACTGCAATTCTTTTAAGACTGCCTACCAGCATTTTGGGTTAGTGGAACACCTGAGAGTAGCTAAGAAGGGCAATCAGACAAAAGCAGGCCTTAACCCCCAAAACATCCTCAGCCAAATGCCTAGGAGACCATTTACCAGAGCAATGAGAAATGTCCGTCTTATTCATGTTCATACCAGTGGGTTTTCTAGGTTCTTCGGATGATCTCATCGGATAACATATGGAACAAATTGATTTTTTTAAACAACAAAGTTTATCTACATTGTAGATATTGCCAAATTCTAACAGGAGGCTATAAAAAGAAAATCAGTTTAACTATTTACTATCTTCTATTTGTTCAAACTTATCAGATAGCTTGTAGACTTTGGAAGAAGCTTTTGATATCTCACATACTTTCCATAACTAACTATGCTTGAAGTCTGGGCGTTTTGGTTATAAAATTGTCTTACAATTATGAACAATAATTCATGAAGGTACTCTGTTGCATCAAAGCTTCTGGTCTTTAATCAATTAACAATCCTACATCAGGCAAATGGGAAACACAAGCTGTTCTGTGGAACAGGTATTTAAGGAGTGCCATTCTTGGATTTGCTCACTCCTAGATTTACAGCTAACAGATCTGGAGTACAAGAAATGACTTGGATGCTACCAACTTTATTTAAATGCTACTGTCCATCCCATAAGTTAGAATTATTTGTTCTTGACCGGGACACTGAAATAGAAATGCTTAGGAAGACCACTCCTACGGTAAAAACTGAAAACTCTGTCAGTCTGAAAGTGCTAGAGTGCACACATCACAGCATGATGAAACAATTTCAGCTTTCATCAGATAAGAAGAGTATAGTTTAATAGTATAACATGGTCAAGTAGTTACTAGTTTTGAAGTAGTTACACTCTCACAGTGCAATCTACTACATTTTATATGTTTCAAGGAACCTTAATTACATATTTTAGGTGTTCTGAAGTGAATCTCTTATTTCTCACCCTTTGTTGCCTAATGCTGAACAGCAAAGGAACCCTAAGCCCTGGATTCCATGATACATTAACAACACCCTGATATGAAGGAATGGGATTACTTTGCTATGGCTATATATAATGTTATGTGTGCAAATGTTTGCAGCAAAAGGATGTTGTGTGAGTTGGCTTTCTCTAAGAATACTACCAGATCAGGTTAATTGGGTATGATTTCCACTTACTTTCTTTTTTAAATATGAACTATTAAAACAAGTTTAGAAGTGATGTAGTCCAAATCCTTTCCAAAGGCAGAATCTACAAGAAATAACCCTTTGAAATTAGATCTGTATAGCAAGAATGTTACCAACCTTGGTATTCGAGATGTAGGGCATATATCTGAATTGTAGATAAATGCCAGCAACCCTTTGCCAACAGGAGCTGAACTACTGAGTCAGCAGTATGATGTAGCTGTGAAAAAGGCTTACAGAATTTTAGGCTGTGCCAATGGAAACTATGGCTGCATGCTTCTAGGTCATTAGAAAGCAATAGCTCTACTTTATTAGACACTGGTTCACTTTTGAGCACTGTATTTTAAGAAGGCTGTAGACAAATCCCTTATACTATCCCATAGGGAACAATCTCCCTAAGGTTGCATCCCTAATTTTATTCAGGAGTAAGTTACAATCAAGTTAGTGAAAACTACTCTGATCAGGCATGTTTGGGATCATATGATGCATATTTCAAACTGTTGGTGCATATTTAACTTAATGCAGAATAGACACAGAAAACAAGTAAACATGAAGCATACACATTAGAATATATGTTCAAATGATAAAGAGCGATTTGACAGTTGAATTAGGGATGAGTTAATTTTTTAAAAACTTGTGTTCTATTTTTTCCACTTTCAAATTTGGTCCCATTTCAACATCAGATTGCATGTTTAAATATTCTTGAAATGTGCAGCTTTTCATGCACATTTTAAAAATTGCATTTTATATGCATTCGAATCATATGCACACTTTTCCAAATGATTTTCAATTTGTAAAGCATTTTTGAACTTTTTTCCAATAATACATATGTTTGTGTGCTCTTTTGAAATGTATATCATTTTCTGAGCACTTACAAAATGTATAGATTTTTAAGGGAAACTGCTTTCTGGAAAGTTTCAGGTTTGAAGAGTGTGGTTTTCTCATCCATCACTTACTGAAACAGACTCTCTCAGAAAATGGCAGGCTTTCCACCGAAGACACTGAGACAAAGGCTGAATGACTGCCTGTCAGGAATGCCGCAGTCAGCGTCTACACTGAACAGAGGGTTAGACTTGAAGTGTCCAAGGGATAATCTAACTCTGTGATTCTGTATTTATATCTACAATTGCTGAAACGTGAGCGTAAGAAAGCCATGTTGGATCAGGCAAAGGATTCATCTGGTCCAGCATTCTGTTCGCACAGTGACCAATAAACTGTTTCTGCAAAATCCAAAAATAGAGCATGACACATCTCATGCTCCCCGGTGGTTGCAGTACTTAAGCATACTGCCCTTGATACTGGAAGTAGCATGTAGCCATCAGGACTGGTTACCATTGATAGCTCCCTCCTCTAGGGATTTTTCCAGTCTCCTTTCAAAGCCCTCCAAATTGGTGGCCATCATCATCTTGTGGTGGCATATCCCATGGTTCAACTATGTGAGGCAGTCCTTTGTATTATCTGTCCTGGATCTTCCACCTGTCAGCTTCAAGGGATGACCCCACATACTAGTAATATGAGAGAAAAATGTCTCCCTGTTCACCTTCTCCAGACCATGCATAATTAGGTACACCTTTATCATGTTTCCCTTTACAGGGCAGTTGCACCAGTTCCATGATCATGTTAACTGTCCTTTTTTGGAGTTTTTCCAACCCCACGGTATCCTTAGTTTATAAGGCTATACTATACTCAACTTGCATATGGATCTTTCTTACAGTGTGTTTGAAGTTCTTTCAGACAAGATTTTATGAATTACTTTTTTTCAGGTTGGAGAACAATTAAGGAAGCCTAAAGAGTGGATTTCAGAATTGCTGCCAAGAGACCTTAGTTTAGGCCAACTCAATTTTAACAGTAAAATCCTGCCTGGCCTTTGATTTGGTTGGGGTATCTCTGCGGATCATGCCACCACTAGAAGGGGTTAAAAATATTTATACGGAAGCTGCTGTTTGCAGCAGCACCCAACTTGTGGAATCCTCTTCTCTCCAAGCTCCTCTCCACTATATACCTTTCAGTGCCATCTGGGGGCTTTTTTTCTTCCAGCGGGCCTTTTGGTAATAGTGGTTTGATGGGTCTATTTTGAAGGTGTTTCTGCTTTTAGCCAACTATTGCAATGCCTCCAAGGCCACGGGTGATAGGGAGCAAGGGAATAAACCCTGTAAACAAGTAAAGTGTCCTTTCATAATAGGATGCTGTCAGCAGAACAAATGAAGCCAGGAAATAGCTCCCTTCCATTGTCCTCCTCTTCTCCCACCACAGATTATTTATTATTTATTTATTAAAACATTTTTATGCCGCCCCATTCGCCGAAGCCTCGGGGCGGCTTACAACAATAAATAAAACCAATAAGTTAAAATATACATATAAATAATCATAATAATTTAAAACACACAATATAAAATAAGCCGCCCTGGCCAGATAAAATTCAGTGGTATTAACATTTAAAATGTTGCTTAAATAAAAAGGTCTTTGCCTGGCGCCGAAAAACAAATAACGACGGCACCAGGCGGACCTCTCTGGGGAGCGCATTCCATAACTTAGGCGCCACTGCTGAGAAAGATTAGACTCACAACCTTTTCAGCTCAGCTCACAATGAACTGCTCTGGTTTAAATTACTACTCAGCAGAGAGATTAGGATTGGAATGGGCAAAAAAAGCAATCCCCTTCTCAGACAAGTCTCTGAGGCAGCGCCTGATAAGAAGTCACAAATTCTTCACGCAGTTTCTCTTCAGAAAAACAGATGACGGTGTTGTTCTCTAGCAATGTCCGTCAGGCAATTTTCCTGCGTACCAAATTACTTAAAGAATTATAACAATGACAACCTCTCCTATCCCTAGTGCCACCTGCATTTCATTCCTCCCAGTTTAGTAACTATGTTTATGACAAAAGAAGTTGACATGGAGTTAATGAATGGGATTTTTGAAAGGTTGGATGGAGGTCATTTCGTGATGAGTATGTTTATACAGCGATGATATGGAGAGCACTGAGATGCGATACTCACATCATTGGGAATGGTGAGTTCATGAGTACTGGCCGGGGGACTGGCATCCAAACCTGAGCATATGCAAGGGAAAATGGTTATAGCTTGAAGAGAAAATTCAGAATACTGTCTGGTATTTCATCAAAATAGCTGACCTTGTGAATTTCTCAGACTGCACCAGGGTCTTAGGGTAAAGAAGGCACATATTTTGGTAAAATTAAAAAAAGCACTGGTATTACTAACCTAGAGCATGAAGAACTACTTGTCATTACATTTCACTGGCCTCTCTCATTGGTTTTAATTGCAATTATTGCAAATTTCTTGAGTACTGCTATGTTCATCTCAACTTGCTTTAATTTTGAAATCAAAGATATGAAGATTCCATGGTAACTAGCCTGTGTTTTCTGTTTTTTGGTGCTCAAAAAGTTGCTGTTAATCAATGGAGCAAAGATAAAGCACAACAGCTTATGACCGTTAGCTATGAACCTGCAGCTTACGACCGTTACCTATGAAACCTGTTCAGGTCATGATGCAATGCGCTCTTCAGAAGTCAACATCAATACTTTTGTATGGATTCTCCACCCAACCTTTTTAGTTGTCAAAAACAAACAAACTGGTACTTGTTTTGCTGCTCATTGCACAGTATATTGATGCCAGCTGCAAGAAGGAAGGGAATCTTGACATCAAATCTTATAAAAGGATAGAATTCAATGTACTGACTTCATCCAGTACATTAAGGAACACTGCATTTTTTGTGTTTTTCTAAAGCTGTCTTTTCCAATCACAAAAACGTCACAATCATAGTCTTATAACAATTTCTGCATGATGGTACACATTTCTTGCAAGAGCATGTTAGAAACAATGCATAAAACAGTGATTTGTTCTTATTAATACGTACAATTTTCTAACAATCCCCAAGCCCACCCTTATTAGAAAGCTGATGTCATGGTGAATTACATGACCAAAATGCAACCTTGGCATTATTTTTATATACAGTGGTACTTTGGCTCATGAACTTAATCCATTCCACAACTCTGCTGAGGACCCAAATTGGTTGTGAGCCAAGTCAAATTTCCCCATAAGGTTCAATGCAAATAAGGTTAATCTGTTCTGTAAATATTTTTTTTTAATCACAGGGAAGATGGGCGTGATCGTGGGCATGCTTGGAGGGGACGGGCGCAGTCGTGGGTGTGCTCGTGCAGGAAAGACAGGTGCGATTGGGACGTGCTCGGGGGGGGAGATGGGTGCAAACGCGGTTGCGCTCATGCAGGGAAGAAGGGCACAATCGCAATTATCACCCGATGTGGAGTTCGCGACCTGACGCAAAATTTTTCAAAAATTTCTGTTTGCGACCTGATTTGGTCATGAACTGAGGCGTTCGTGAGCTGAGGCACCAATGTACAAGGCAAAGGACAATGTCCTTCACAAGAAATGCGATAAACCTTATCATTTCACTATGTGAACTCTTTTGCACCACTTCTTTTACAACTCCCTCTCTGATACAGTCCAATGATTCCAAGACAAAATGAAGATACATTCTTGATCAACTGACACAACTCAAGAACAAAACATTATGTAGTGCAGGTTTTCATGGACTACTGTCTACATACTCAATGGGAGGGTTTTCCTTGTGGCTCACTCATTTTTCTATTTCATATTTCTTTCTATATCTCTGAGGCCTAAAATGAGAACTCTGGTCAATCCATGTGTGTGTGTGTGTGTGTGTGTGTGTGTGTGTGTGTAATAGTGTTGAGGGTGAAATTATGCAAAAGTGGCAAAAATTACTCTTTGTGTTCTGCATTTGTTCCCTCAAGAGAATTATTCTTGTGAGAGATACCATGGAGTTATGCAGGCTAAAGCAGCCACTTCTCTTCTCCCTGAGCAGGGAGTTGAAAGTCAGAAAGCAGTAACGGTCAGTGAACGGGATTTTTCACTGTTACCTCCCTACGGCCCCGATGAGCTCGGCACGGGGGGGGGGGGGACAGTGCGCGCATGTCTCTGTGTGCACATGCATATGTGTCTGTGTGAAACAGAGCGGACGCTGACAGTGTTTGTGTGTGGGGTGAGGAGGCAAGAAGGTGGTTCAGGTGCTGGCTGTTCCCACATTCACTGCTAATATGGCTCCTGGCCCACCACTGACTGTCATGCTGAGTACTAGGATGTTGCCCCCAACCCACCATCTGCTGACCTGTGCAGGTCTGGGGGCAAAATGGTTGCCCACTTCTGATGCACTGCATTTCAAGTGTCCCCATTGCCTCACATTAGGAAACTGCACACAATCATGGCCACATGGACAGATTAAGGTACAGAGCTCCAATTGAATAAAATTAAATTGAATTGGCTTTCTACAGGGAGACTGGTACACATTTAAAATCTACCTGTGTAAGTTCTCTCTTAAAAGCAGTTCAGCAGACAATTGGAACAACATTGCACAATTTGTTCAGCATAATGTATGAACCAATTTATAATGTCAATGCTATGTTGAAAAATCAAGGGAAGTGTGTCACCCATGTAACAGCCTGTGCCTAGAAATCAATCGGCATTTCTCCTCAAAAGACAAAGGATATTGTCAAGTTATATGAGGGCTTAACCTGAACCGAGAATGAGTTATAGCAAGAGACATATACCAATATTTTCTGCCAACCTTGCTTGAGCTTCTTCACTGAACACCTTTTATAAACTGAATCATTACTGACAGTGACACTATAGGCTGCATTCTAGAAAAAGCAACTAACAAGTACATTCCACTCATGTCAGTGAGATTTACTTCCGTGTAAGTGTGCTTGAGCTGAAGTGCTATTCACAATGTCACTGAAGAGAGTTTGCATTCATGTTTCCTTTAATACAGTTTGAAGGTAGCTATTCCAGCTAGATTACATAAATGCTCAAGCAAAAAGTTCAGCTCATTCCCCTCTCCCTGAAATCCCTGCAGGGAGCTGGAGCATGTGCAGTAACCCCGCAGCATGGCATCTCTCCTAGTGTCCTGGGTTCACACATTCACAAAGTTTCTATGAATGCATCGCTTCCGTACTTCCCCCTCTTCCCTCCAAATGGCAGCATGTATCCCATCAGCGCCCCCAGCTCAGAATCAGACCCAGGGTGCACCACTCCTCCCTGTCGCACCTGTCTCCCTCATTGGCCCAGATGCTTCCCTGGACGTGGCCTCAGCTGGTTGCATTTAGCACTGCTGCTCTAGAAGAACGCTGCTGGAACCGCTCTGTGGCACCATGCAAGCTCCCCCACCAACCCACACACCTCTCTCCCCTGCCTCACTGCACACGTGTCCACTCCACACCCCCGTTGCAGGACTTGCGCATGCCGCCAGGGGTTGCTTCCCCCTGCAGCCAGGCACATGGAGGGCGCCTGCTCAGACAGGCCATGCCAGGGAGAGAAGAGGCGCATCCTGCCAGCATGCCTTTCCCGTGGGAGAGCACGTGGGCATCTGTCTGGGAAAATTTCTGGCCGGCTGCAAGGAATGTGTTTGTTGCACAGTGACGATGGGGGACAGCAAGCTTGTTGACAGCCCTTAGGAATGCCAGGGACAAGACAGGAGTAGCAGGGAGAGCAGGGGAACAAGAAGGAGACCTGGGCTTCTTAGGGTGGTCACCGTGATGGGGAAGAACAAACATACAGCATTTCAATTTGCAGCTCCAGCGAAGGGCCACAACCAGATCTGGGGCACCGGCAGCCGCTGCGGGCACTGCTGCTCGAGATGGCATGCTGGGATGCCCCACTGCTTCCAGTATTCCAGAGCTGCAGCTGAGCACTGGGAAGGAAGCATACAGACTGGGGAGGGGAGCAGGGTGGGGCCGCCAATTGGAGCATGGCTGCAGCTGCCTCAGCCGTCGCTAGGACAGCGCAGGACGGCGAAACACGGAGGCTGGCGTGTCTGCTGCAGCCACGGTCGCTCTCGGTGCCGAGCTTGATGGTAGAACTGCAGAAACCGTGGAACAAGAGCGTAGCTGGATTTACCCGGAACAACAAGTGATGGTGAAATGTAGAAACCTTACAAGGATTGATTCTCTGAGGATTCATGGAAACCACATTCCTTCATTGTGGATTCACACAAGCCACACCTGTGCAACACAGCCATTGATCTAAAATATACAAATGTAAATGTAGGCATGCAAAACTGCATACTCTGACCAAATGGCTTTGGGTAAAGGACACAGGAAGAGAAAACAAAACCCAGGTAATTTTTTGACAGAGATGACACTAAGATGACAATAGGATACTTCCTATTATGCTGTAGGCTCCTTGGAACCACTGCCTGTATAATGGCTCTTTTGCAATGTAACCAGTGAAAGTGGAGTAGGTCTGGTGGCCCTGCCTCCATCTGTAACTATTTGTGAGGATTGTAGCCCAAAGGAATCCCCATACGTTTTTACCCAATGTACTTCAGCACCAATATTTGATGAACAAGCTGGATTGCATAGAGACTCAGATTAAAACAGCACTCACTCTCTTTTTCAACTGCTAGCTCTGGCTATGCATGGAAGTAAATATAGTTCATATTGCAGCCAATACCATAAGAAAAGACAGTTAGACTGAGCTTTTCCAGACAGAGCTTTTAATGGGCTATTGGCCTGCCAATAGATCTGCACATTTCAATTGCACATCATTTATGGGATTTACAGGGGTTATATAGGCTGTCAAGATGATGTTTCTCCCTTGCCCAGAAAGCTAATCATGCCTTGTCTTCTGTTGTATTGCTTTACCACTCCCTCCCACCCATATATGCACACAGGTATCCTGTTGAAGAAAAAGCAACAGGGAAAATAAAGGTCCATGGGACAACTATGAAGGGCAAAGAAGTAAAATTTTGTGATGTTTAGCTTGTGTCCTTTTCCTGCAGTGTGCAGTGTATAATTCTAGAAATTAAGGGGTTAACTGTCGTGCTTTTATTCCTGTGTAAATGTGTGTGGTCCCAATTCTGACTGGATGGCATTCATCCAGGAGGAAAGGGTTAAATCTTTCACCCTACCTGTTTCCCCCCTCCAAGTTCCAGAAACCTATGGGGGATAAATAAACAAGCTTCTATTAACCCCTATTGAGTTTCCTCTTCTTTCTGAGA